AATCGATATTTAGAGCACTACTATCTATCTATCACATGTGAAATGTTAAAATTTACTGGTTTTTTATTTGTTCCTTTGTATTTACATAACTACCTTTCTGGATACCAAATTTGAACCTTCGAGGTCATCTGGAAGTGGTTAGAATTTGGTATATAGGTCGGACATGTAGATTTTTGGACGTCAATATCTAAAGAACCGTTTGAGGCATATTTATGAAATTTAAAACTGATGCATATCTTGCAAGTCTCAACACATGAGCCAAATTTGAAGTGTTAATGCACAGTAGTTTTTGAGTGATGAGGAGTCAAAAGTGGCTCAAAGTGATTCGTCTAAATATACGCACGGTGTAGTCCCCTCGCTGGTACTAGGCTTAACATGCTCCCGCATGTCTATAGTGTTTGCTCAATGTTGATTTAGTCGATTTTCTCCTGATGGGAACATGTAAGACAAAAATAAAATTTCCAATATTACAGACCTTCTAGAGCAGATGCCGCGAAAACTATACAATTTATAGAAAAACTTGTCTTTCTCATCTGTAGCAAATTGAATAAGCTTTTTTTGGTTCATAGTAGTCATGTCACTAGGACGCATAGTTTCCGAGGATTGAGCGAAAAACCGAAAAGTGGCACCTTTAAACCCCCCTCTCCCCGCCGGCTCAAGGGCTAAGGGCGGGGACTTTTGCTATGTTCACCTCTTAACTAGTCTAAATAAAGTCCTGAAGTCAGAAATTGTGTTCTACAGTTTTCCATCTATATGCTTTATTGACTGGACTAATACACACATAAGTAAAATATACAGGAACATTTGTAAAACACCAGCAACCTAATCGAACTATACAATAACTAATTTACTCGTATCATAAGCAATTAAAAACATTTAAATTGAAAAAGTAAGTCAATTTTCAAGTCATTAAAATAAATTTCTAATATAAGTTACTAAAATTTTATTTAACTACCAGCCAGGCATAAAATTTCCCTAAAAAGTAGCGAGTTCCCTAAAAACGCGAAAACCAAACGTACAAAAAGTGCAATTAAAATATTTCATGAAGAACTTAACGGGTGCTTAAAACTCAACCGGGGCCGGCTACTCCACGATTAATTCGACCACTTAACAGCGGTTTAAGAAACCCCCAAAGGTTTCGTGCAACACATTAAGCCAGGGGTTCCCAAACTTGGGAATTCGTTATTTTTATGTGACGATGAAAATTAAAAGAGATTATAACCTGTTTTGAGACAAATAAATACTTTCTATCAATATATTTATTTTCCTTTATTGAATAGTGGCTACTAATGAGAAAGATGTGCTTGCTTTTCAGAGTTTTTTTTTATCCCCAATGGAGTACGGAGTACTCTAGGCATGCATCTCACCTGGTGAAAAGTGATGATCAGGCCGATGGTGGAAGTGAGCTGTACCCGTAATCCTCAACCACAGAGCAACTCGCTACCTTACCTCTAACTGTCAGAATACAACAATGCTGTTAATCAATGTGGCGACAGACATTGCGGATGATAGGGAATAAAGGTAAAGGGAAGCACAAAATATCCCTAGGCGTGGCCCTGCACAATATAAGTAAAAACACTTTGTAGACATCACATCAAGTTTAACACTGCCATCTTATATAGTTGTAATAGATGCTATTTCGCAACGAAACTGTATAGGCTGACATGCTCTGGTTGTAGATATAAATCTAATAAAGGAAAAAGTACTCAATACAAGGACGTTCCACCCGATAACTGGCAAAACACTCGTATAGAAATTTAAATTTATATTTCGTAAATAAATACTTTCTATCAATATATTTATTTTCCTTTATTGAATAGTGGCTACTAATGAGAAAGATGTGCTTGCTTTTCAGAGTTTTTTTTTATCCCCAATGGAGTACGGAGTACTCTAGGCATGCATCTCACCTGGTGAAAAGTGATGATCAGGCCGATGGTGGAAGTGAGCTGTACCCGTAATCCTCAACCACAGAGCAACTCGCTACCTTACCTCTAACTGTACAAGTAAATGGCGATAGACTTGGTAAGATGGTGGTCGCTAGCAAGGCGGACTTGGAAGAAGCCCTACTTTCTTAGTAGGGCACTACCCAAACCGAAAAGAAAATCTGCCTCTACTGAGAATTGAACCCGGGACATCTGGGTCGGAAGCCTAGATCTACCTACCTACCACTAGACCACAGAAGCGGTCATTTTCTCGAAACAGGACTGAAGTTTGGAAATTGCCACTCTTATGATAATTCCACGACTCGTCCCCAGGGGATGCAATAATGCTAAGGGTGCAACGCACAATTTGAGAAGCCCCGCATTAAGCAACGCCCCAAAGCAGTTTTGGCCCACTTAAAGCAATTTCTGTTATAATTAGAATCGTAACGTTATAATTTTGGTAGGAATTGCCTTTGGATGTTACGTTTCATTACTGTTGCAAATTAATTTCGTGAAGACCAGGAATGTTAGAATAATTAAATGATTCGAAGTAGCTTTGTATTATTTGAGGTGGGATTAAGTTTGCGTAAACCATTTTAATACTTTTGATGTGATTATGAAAACTGCATGACAGTTTTACAATCGTGTGCTAACAATGGAAACAAAATACAACATTTTTTATTAAAGTTAATGTACTGACAATAGCACTATGATAATATTTACTTTCGTCGCAAAATCGCCTCTATAGCTAGATTTATAAGTGGTTCCGTGTTTTGCTGGATGTGCCGTATGTAGGTTCGTTATTAAAGGTTGTCTGAAAAAAGTAGCTTTATACGATAAGACTAAGTTCTTTTGCTGGAAGTTTTTATCGTTTCGTGAATTTGTCGTACAAATGCCAGCACTTCAGCCTATTTTACGTGGCGAAATCCCATTTTTTATACATAACAGGGCAGGTATTTGACCTCAGTCGCACCTGATGTTAAGTGAGATGCAGTCTAGGATGGTACATAATATCTGCCCTGTAAGTAGGGTTTCTGCTCGAGCCTTCTCGAACTCGAGAAAACTCGAGAAATTTGGCTTCATTCGAGACGAGAAAAAAATTACCGGAGCTCGAGAATTCTCGAGTTTCGATTTTGAAGCTTTAATACTCTTGAAAGCCTGTTTTCTTAGACAAAAGTTGGTTTTTAATTATTTAATAGATTAACGTTGCTTTTAGACTGGCCTAGTCTTCCTTTTTTAACTGATTTGATTTGCAATTAATGATCTCAATCGAAACTAAGTAATAATGTTTACCTACGAGTATGCCATACCTATTTATTATGTATGTTTAACTCTGACTGATTTAAAGACCGAAAAATTTGTTAACTGTCTGTTAGGTTACGTACTCGTGCCTCCTCGTAAAGTTTATTCAAGTCGTTATCCTAAAGAAATTTAAAAAAATATTAAAAAGTGTTTTTTTGTTTATAAAAAAAACTATTTATCGTAATTTTGCTACATGTATATTTGGACTTGTGTCCTTTGGAAAACAAGTGATTCAATTGTAGCTCCAGATTTTTTATTTTATTTGTTTAACAATGTTTCAACAGCATTAATTTGTACATAAATGTGCAATTTTATTGTTATTTATCTTTAAAGTACACGCGACTTTATGACTTTTGTTCCTTTAGTTAATAACTAAGTTATGATTATTAGTTAATATTAATTATGAAAGAAGATTTCATTTTTTGTTTGTTTCCTTACCAAAATAAGTGGTACTAAATTCTAATATTGATTGTTGTGCATTAAAGTAGGTATATTAGATTAAAAAAAACTGTGTATTTATTAAATTTCAACCGATTTCAAGAGTTTTAATTAAAAGACTCGAGACCCGAGAAAACTCGAGATTTTCGCCTCGAGAATTCCCGAAACTCGAGAAAAAAAATAGGTCGAGAAATCAGAAACCCTACCTGTAAGGCTTATTTATTAATTTTTAAGGGTAACATTCATTTTCGATCGGGATAGTAAGCGGCTCGAGTATTTTCCAATCTCTATATTTCTAAATATAAATTGACTGTATCTATACCAGACTATATTACCTATTCAGTCTAGTATCTCAAAACAGTAAAAAACAACGCGAGGGAAAAATAATAAACCATGATATAGCCTCGCGTAGGAAGTTATCTTTTTATGTAAAAACATCCAGATCTATCGGTTTTTCTATACTCTGAATATCTGAAGCCCACTTTTTCATGTAAATTCACATTCGCAGTATAACGCTATATCAGGATGTATACCCAGACTTATTCTAACCCGAAAACTAATATCTTCATTTTACCATACGAAAGCTATAGCACAGTGTAAGGAACTCATGCATAATGTATCAAAATCTATTGGGGGCAGTATAAAGCCGACTTGTAGGCCGGTGGGCCGAGCTTTTTATTAGGCACAAAATATTTTCCCCCGATTCTAGGATAATATTATTATGAATGTTGGACGTTGGTAGTAGGTACCTACATCAATAAATGTCAAAGTGTCGGTCGAAATAATTAATCAATTTGAGATCTTGACCAAGTAAGTCCGTTGTTGCCAGGCACAAAAATACTATTTATTTAAAAAGCTGAAGAGTTCGTTCGTTAGCTTGAATGCGGTAATCTCAGTAACTACTGGTCCGATTTGAAAATAAATAAAAAATAAATAAATAAATCTTTAGACAATTTCACACATCGCCAGCTAGCCCCAATGTAAGCAACTTAATGCTTGTGTTATGGGTGCTAGCTTAACGGATATACTACTTCGTTCGTTCGTTTCAGCCGAAAGACGTCCACTGCTGATATACTACTTATTTACTTATTTTTTTTAATACATATATAAGACTATTAGTCTATTCATTCATTATCTAGGATCGGCAAAATGAAACAATGTGTTGCTCTTGTAAAGTAGTGATATTTTCAACAATATTCTATCATCTATTCACACAGAAATTGTTTACGAATCACAACAGAGAAACGACATTTAAAGTTAATTCATCAGCTTGTCGATTCCTTTAAAATTATTATACATTTTCATCTTCTAAAATAATAAAATTTTCACTTTAATAACACCATGTCAGATGTCACATGTCACATGTCAACATGAAAAAGAAAAGTAGCTCTGCTCTCTGCCTAATTAAAAAAACAACTAAAGAGGATTTATTCTCTTATATCTCCCCCCCTAGGTAGGAAAATTTTCCCATGAAAATTTTCACTAAGTAACCACACATTCACGTTAGGGATAAACAATTCACATCATCGTCCTGTGTAGCAATAGGAATGAGCTTTGTGATATGGAAAAGATTTGACTCCAACTTCTTATGACCTGTATTAATCTTGTATATTGATTGTGATATTTTTTCCTCAATTTTAAACGGTCCAATCCTTAGCTCATCCAATTTTTTCCTGTTTAATTTATGTCCATTTTCAACATATACCATATCACCTTTATTAAAATTAAAATGTTTTCTATCTCTGTCCATCACTCTCTTATTATATTCATGTGATAAAATTGATCTTTCAAATGCAATTTTTCTGTCCTTTACCCAATCATCTGTCTTTTTTCCTGATTTCAGTTCATTTGGTAGGAACGAGACATCTGTACCATCCAGCAGGTATCTCGGCGCAAAGCCAGTAACTGTATGTTCAGTATCATTATATTTACTCACACAGTTATGAGCAATTGTTGTCCATGCTGTTGTATTTGGTTTCTCATTAATCTTGCATCTTATTTTATTTACTAGTGTTTGGTTCAGCCTTTCGTTAAGTCCATTTGAAAACGGCGAATTAACTGCGGTGAAAAGCAGCGTAATTGACTTTCCACTTAAAAAATCCTTAAATTCCTTCGAGTTGATTCCAGGATATTGGTCTGTAAGAACCATGCCAATTTCATTACAATAAGGAACGTTATTTATCAGCTTTATAAAGTCTCTTGCGCTCTGTGTCTTCGAAGTCACTATATACGCGTATCTAGTAAAGTGATCCACTAACAGGTGTAAGTATCTTTTCGTTGATCGAGACCCTCCAAATCCTCCTATCGTGTCTATTGACACAATTTCAAATGGNTGACTTTCAGTTATTTTATTGGTTCTGGAGTGAAGGCGTGGGTCATCCCTAGCTTTGTTCCTACCGTGACGAGTGGGAATTTTTCTAAAATCTCAAGATGGACTGACTGAAGATAGCAGGAAGACGCTGGGTGCAGGCCACTATCAACTGGGCGATGTGGAAATCATTAGAGGAGGCCTTTGTTCAGCAGTGGACGTCCAGTAGCTAAAATGATGATGACGATGTTTCCTTACAGTATCCAATTCAATAGGCAGAAACTAAACGTAAACGAAGTGTCGCCTCTGTAATGGTATCATTATCTATAACTCATAATATTTCGTGCGCTGTTGGATGACAGTTTTAAACTAGAGATGGGTAATTTTTTTATCGAATTAGAAAATACCAGTTAACGATTCTCAAGGCGATTATCGATTACATTAGATTTTAATCGGGAAGAAAAATAATTAATGGCTTAAGCATCAGTATGAAGCCCATACGCACTTGTAGCACAAGTAACACGATTAGCCTCACTCCCCTCAGTTGTGAATTCGGAATCGCCAGTTGTAATTTTAAAATCGCATCACAGAGTGAAGTAACTAACACCAAAAAACGGCAGAGCGAAGTGATTTCGAATGTTTCAACTGCTACGTTTTGTCACTTGTCTAGGAGGGCTAATTTTAGTCTAAGGGAGGGGAGCTTAGATTACATTACAGGAAACGCACAATATAATAAAATAAAATAATGTAAGTAGCTGAACCTTTTTGCTATTGAGCACCATGAAAATTTAACACAATTTAGCCGATTTGTTTATTTTCACAATCGATTCACAATGTCTATGATGAGGCGACCGCAGGAACGTCACTATTCGTGCAATCCTATCAATGAAGTACGACATTTTCTGGTGCAGATTTTATCGCCATAAATTATGAAATTTGATAGTCATGGATTTGACTGACAGCTGTCCGTCAAATTCCCGCCCCGCACCCCGCACTGTACATATTTTGTTCGCGATGTCTGTTCTATACGTAGTAATATTACTTCAATGTCTGTATATATGTTTATCGGCAAGTCCTTATCATAGATTTCTAAGATTGGTACATTTTCATCTTCTAAAATAATAAAATTTTCACTTTAATAACACCATGTCAGATGTCACATGTCACATGTCAACATGAAAAAGAAAAGTAGCTCTGCTCTCTGCCTAATTAAAAAAACAACTAAAGAGGATTTATTCTCTTATACATACGAGGGGCGGCTGAAAAGTTTTGAGCCTAAGTATCTTCAAGTGTTATTATTGACTCGCGCTAAATTTAATTATTTTACCAATAATCTCCTTAGTATATGTACAAAGTTTCATTTCATTAGCGTCATCATGCTTTTAGTAATTAATCCGTAAACATCATCATGTCTCAGTCATCCTCGCAATGTACGAAATTGAAGTACACAGTTGTCATAAAATTCCTCAAAAAGAGGAACAAAACGCTGACGGTAACATTTGAAGATATGTCTACAGTTTATGGGGAGTCTGGGCCTTCATTTGCCATCATGAAAGATTGGATCCGATAGTTCAAGCATGGCAGGGAGTCGCTAAAAGATGACCGCAAGTCAGGGCGGCCAGATTTCGCCATTAACGCATAAAATAATGAAAATTTAAAGAATCTTGCTTTAGAGATCAGCGATTAAGCTGTGGCAGATAGCTGAAGCCATAGGCATTAGCAAGAAACGTATAGGTGATATTTTTCATACTCATTTGCACATGAAATAGGGGTGCACGCGATGGGTGCCAAAAATGCTCACGCCGCTCGACAACCAGCGTCGAGTAACAACTTCGCAGGAGTTTTAGGACATCTTTGGCCATAATCCTAACAATTTTTTTTCTCACATTGTCACTATTGATAACTAATAGATCCGGCAATACGATCTAGAGTCAAAATAAGAGTCAATGTAATGGATTCAAAAGGGAAAACGCCGCCGCGGAAATTCTAAGTGGAGCGATCGACACCCAAGCTCACAGCCATTATTTTTGGGATTGTGGAGGAATTTTAATCATTGACTACCTACTTAAAAAAACTACAGTAAACGGGAATTATTATGCTGTACTGTTGATAAGAGTGCGTCAAGTAGTTGTTGAAATATTAAGCGGCAAACTGGCGAAGGAAATCTGTTATTGCAAGACAATTCGCCCGCGCACACCACGCATGTTGCAAGGCTTACCCCGGGTAAAACTGGATCTCAAGAAATTAATCACCCACCACACAGTTTAGTCCGAATCCTTAGCTATTTTGTCTAATTCTCAAATTGGAAAAAAGACCTCCAGGAACGAAGATTTTTGAGCGACAAAGAAATAAAGGCGGCGTTAAAGGCTCATTTCGAAGGCAAAGATTGCGATTTTTTTTTTCAGTAGGTTAAAAGATCTTTTACACAAATGTAAGAAGTCCGTTGTAGTAGAGGGAGATTAAATAGAAAAATATATTTTTTATACTTTTCTATCGGCATTTTTAATACCTTAGGCTCAAAACTTTTCAGCCGCCCCTCGTATTATACATAGTAACACCCAGACCCGTCACAGAAATTAAAATTTATCATTTCAATTTCTGCCCGGCCGGGAATCGAACCCGGGACCTCTTGGCATAGAAGCACGTTCTGAACCACTACACCAAACGGCCGACTATAAAAATATTGTGTTGAATAGCCCATTTATCGAGGAAGACTTCAAATTAACGTACCCAATAGGGGCGGCGCAGTAAATAGAAATGTTAGAAAAAACGGGAAATGTTATTCAAAAAATTTTCACGCGTACAAAGTCGCGGGCACAGCTAGTATTTATATAAAATTGTATTGATGAAACTACTGAAAGCCTCTACAAAGTTGGCGTGTGTAGACAAGATTTAGATAGTCGTACACCTATTTACGGCAAAGTACGAGTACCTACATACATACTTATGAGGTGGCCCGATAAAATCTTCCGTGCTAAGTGAACGCTTCACTTTATAGGCCGTAAAAACTAAATGAGCTAGTGGTGTATGCGCACTAAAGGTCATAGCAGACTTATCAACTCGGAAAGGGATCAACACTGTATCGCCTTTTGCGAGCTGTCATCGCCTTTCGCGCGCTGTCAACCGCGAGGAGAGGTGCAGAATGTGCGTTGCAGTATGGAGTTTCATACAAAGAATACTCACAGCCACAGCCTCGAGTTGATACGGTTACGATCCGTTTCCGGGTTGATAAGTGTGCTACGCCCTTATACATATAGCCAAGATAAAAGTACAATGATGGCCTCTATTACTGTGTTTTTCTGTGTTGGACATCTGTCATTCGCTTTTCCACTGAGGGAAACTCGATCTGAAATTTAATTTTTTCATTTTAGTGGCAGGTCCAAAAACTTCACTTTATACTAGTTCAACTCATGAACTTTAATCAGTAAGGGAGTAAAATAATTACTAACTGTATAAAATGTAAGGTTTCATTCTGTCCACATACCTTGGCAATTTTAGACTAATTTCCATTTAAATCGAGTCGGTTTTCCTTCTTTTCCTTGACAATTTATTGTTCAAAAATTAATTACTTTTGCCCTCTGGCAATGTTATTGAGTAGGTTTAGGGAAAATGTACCTATTGTTGTTTAAACTAATTAAAAGAATGGTAACATTTTACATAGAAATAAACTTGGTAATAATCTGAATTCAGAGGACAACGAATCTCTTGTTTTATTTTATAACTAGCGGCCGCCCGCGACTTCGTACGCGTGGATCCCGTTTTACCCCCTTCATCTATCTTACGCGGTTTAGATTTTTTCATAAAAATGTTTTTTCCCGCTAACTCCCGTTCCCGTGGGAATTTTGCAATATCCTGTTGTAACTAAGCTTTAAGTTTACTAAAGTACCTATTTGCCAAATTTCAAGCGTCTAACTTAAGCGGTTTAGATTTTTCATACAAAAGGATTTTCCCGCGAATTCCCGTTCCCTTGGGTATTTCGTAATTCCTTGTTGTAAGTAAGCATTAAGTTTACTAAGGTACCTACATGCCAAATTTCAAGCGTCTAACTTAAGCGGTTTAGATTTTTCATACAAAAGGAGTTTCCCGCTAATTCCTGTTCCCGTGGGAATTCCTAAGTATACTATAACCTGCCCAGGAGTATGAAGAATAATTGTACCAAGTTTCGTTAAAATCCGTCTAGTAGTTTTTGTTTCTATAAGGAACATACAGACGGACAGACAGACAGACAGACAAAAATTTTACTATATATAGACCCTCTCCACGTCCAATGGTTTGTTACCCACAGGCTTCCAAGTCTTGAAAAGGGCCACCTCAACCAGTGTAACCCTATCAAGGCTTACGAGCTTGATGCGCCTATCCTTGTTCGTCCCAGCCGTTCCTTAACTGCGGTTGCTGCACCTCTTCCTGGCACTCACCTGAACGACTCTGTGTTACCTACTGTGGCTGCCCCTCTTCCTTGTATCCTCCTGCATGACTACGTTGCCTAGCCGTATGCCTGGTCTAAGGTTCGACGCCAAAAATCAACAACAACAAGTTCATATTAAAACGCTGAAGAGTTTTTTGTTTGTTTGTTTGAACGCGCTAATCTTAAGAATTACTAGTTTGATTGAAATCATTATTTTTGTGTTGAATAGCTCATACATTGAGGAAGGCTATAGGATATATACAATCACTCTACGACTAATAGAGGCGAAGCAGTAAAGAAAAATGTTGCAAGCACGGAAAATAGTATTTAAACTATTTTCACGCGTACAAAGTTGATTTTGTGGCGTCGAACCTTGGACCAGGCATATAGCTAAGCAATGCAATCGTACAGGAGGGTACAAGGAAGAGAGGCAGCCACATTAGGTAACACAGAGTCGTTCAGGAGAGTGTCAGGAAGAGGTGCAGCAACCGCAGTTAAGGAACGGCTGGGACGAACAAGGATAAGCGAATCAAACTCGTGAGCCTTGTTAGGGTTACACTGATTAAGGCGACCCTTTACAAGGCTTGGAAGCATGTGGGTAACAAGCCATTGGACGTGGAGAGGGTCATTAATTATACGTATATTTTCTACTTTGCCGAACTTTAGCGCGAGAACGGTTTGTCCAAAACATATGAATTTGGTCTTATTCAATGCAGGATTAAGTGCCCTTTAACCGTCATGAAGACCACTTTTCGATAGGGTAAGTCCTTTACGCGGTATAACCGGAAAACCGAAAAAACGCCGCTTTCGGGGGCCCCCACCACTTAAGCACAACTCCGTCGAAGTCGAAAACTTAGGAGAGTCTTAATGGGCAACCAATGAAGCCGTTAAAGCAAAAAAATCTTTTGTAGGAATTATTTCCGATTTAATCAATTTTTGTGTTTAATTCTACTGGCCTATTTACAGTATCAATATTTTTAACGCAATATTTATACGCGCAGGCGGTAAGCTATAAAATTGGGGAAGTAGCGAACATTCCATAAAGTTGGTACGATCAGGATGATGATGGCACGTGAATACATTTTCCAAGCAATATTTCATTCTGGCTTCTTGTACTTTAAGAATACTTGAAGAGAACATACGAAATGCACATAAAAATGCTTTTGTATTATTAGCTTTATTTCTTTCTCTAGTGTGAATTATACTATCAATATGAATATACATAGCCCAATCACGTATGAACCGAACGACAGCTAGTTATTTTTTTAATGATTTTTGGATCTTAAGACCAGCCGATAAAATATTCAAAATAACATGGTATAATATAGGCTAGTGTTTGAGGACTCTTACCCTTAATTTACCATATTCCCCCTTACATATTTTTGGCGTGGTAATCCAAAATCCGACTAACCCACATTGACGGAAAGATTAATTATGTATACAGTTAAAATATGCACGGGCGTAAGTCCGCAAACCCTCAGGTGAGTCAAAGGACGTAGGGCCGGCTTACTGAACTAAAGGACAAAGTAGCGTACAACATAAGCGTCCTTATGGGTATGAAAATTAGGGCCAAGATGACATTTTGAGGTTCGGAGAAAGCAATAGATTCATTCGTTGGTTTTAGATAAATGAGATCCACTGCTAGAAAAAAACCTCCTCCAAGGATTTCCACAAGGACCGGGCCTGCGCTGCCCGCATTCAGGTGCTTCTCATGATTCCCTGACCTTCACCAGATAAACTAGAGATTCATCAATGAAACTCTGTTTCCTAAGTATAAACATCATAAAGTCCTAGTATTCGTTCCTTTTTTAAGACCACCGTGCACTTATTTTATGCGTAAATCTCGAGTACATCAGTAGGCCTAGGATGCGCACCGCGATAAAATTTTATCGCGCTATTTTATAATTTTTTCGTGATAAACCAATCTGTTTGTCGTCTAAAATCTTCGATAAGATTTTGTCCTAGCCCCGGAAGATGTCAATTATGGCACAACAATTCTAACACCACCGTTGGAAAACCCGAACAATAAAAGAAGAATTGGTTCACTTATACGGTTTCGTATAGCTTTTAATAATTGTGTAATATAATATGATACACGTGTTTTAAGATTAGAGGGATTTACACAATACATCCCTAACACCGTACTGTTGTTCTAATTAGTTCTAATTAGTTCACAAAGAAACTCATTTTATATTAATTTAGCCTGTAGACAAGTATCTGTAAAGCTAAAACCACACCAACGTGTGCAGATCGCTGACGGCGCGATCATTCGCCTATGACAGGTCGCGCGACCCATGACAGTTCACGCGATCTGTCATTGGCCTATGATCGCGCCGGCGATGGCGATCTGACGCGTTGGTGTGGTTGAAGCATAAGAGCCACAGCACACATGCTTTTTATAGCATCCCCGGCATCAATTTAGTCGCTTTTTAGAAGCATTCAGCGACCACACACTTAAAATCACAACGCGCAGCGACTAAATCGCTTTTCAAAGGTTCTATACAGCGACAGCAGTCGCCAAATCACATGAAGTCGTGAAGTCAGCATCGCGATATTGCATCGTTACAGTCGCAAAATCCTCGATCACCGATCCTAAAAGTAGCCTGTCCATCTATAAAGTGGATAGACGACCTCATAAAGGTAGCAGGAAGGCGCTAGATAAGTACAGACCGCTATCATTCAATCTGTCAATCAAAAAAAAAGATATCCAAATCATTAGAGTAGGCCTATGTTCAGCAGTAGACGTCCTGTGGCTGAAATGACGATGATGATGATTCTAACAAGCACAAAATGTTACGGTCTAATCCATAATCTAATGATCTACTTTGAATAAACAATGACTGACATTAAATAAATCATGACTCGGTATTTAACTTCTTAAAACTAACTAACACCTTTTCACCCAGGGACCAGAGTTGGACAAAACCAGCGAAAATAAAACCCATAAAACCAAGAACAATACTTTATGGTTATAAAATTCTGACGTCCAAATTATCTTCCGTGAGAAATGTTTTCATACATTTTAAGTAAGAAAACCGGCGTAATGAATAAAAGAAGGCTGAATCAGGTATGCTAGGAGTTATTCGAAGCGAAAATAATCTTCGAATGAAACGGGATCGGTTCCATTCATACCATTCTTTGAAGTTTTCAAGTCAGAGGATAAAGATGGGCCGTACGTCACACCGTCTTGGTAATAAACCACTAAAATCACCAAAAAATGTATTGAAAATACAAAAGTTCATACATCAATAAAGTTGAAACTGTTTGCTTTAAGAAATCCTTAAGTCTATACTGACTGATGCTTTAGGCTTCGGTATAGTAGGGATCAGCTTTTAAAGTTTTCAGTAATGGCCCGTACTTGTAGGTTCTGTACTTATGAGTAATGTGACTTCATAGATTAGTAGTGACTTCATAGAGTCAGTTACTTTTTTAGCACTGGACTAAAAGATAAAAGGTACGAGTAGGTTAAAGATCGCTTTCACATTTAGGCGATTTAGCAGCGCGACAAACGCGCGACAGTCGCGCTGCCGAAAAGTTCATACTATGTGACAGCGGATGCATGCCTTCACATTCTAAAAATGCTGCTGCCGCACTGCTGTCGCGCTTCTAACGCCCTAATGTGAAAGCGCTCTAAGTGGCGTGCAAAAAGTATATACCTACATTAGAACGTATATAAAATTGTCTCATAAAAGTAGGAGTGTTTCTTTTTTCTGGCCTAAATAAATAAACACTTCGGACCTAAATAAATAAACACTTCTTACCCATTTAATTTTGTTACCCTCATTTTCGCAACTTATCGACTTTACGGTTATTACCTCCAATTTATTTATACAAATATTGACTGTTGGCTTAATTTTCTCTACTCGGAGATTTCCTAAGGGACCCCTGTGTTTTACGGACCCCGCGTAATTACGACCCATTAAAGGGAAATGGATAAAATACCTATTTGAAAGTAAAACCGGTTTTGTATCAGATATTAATTCGACTACAAGTTTTGTCAAGGGAAATCTCTTTGTTGTTTGATTTCTTTCATGAGTTATTTTATCAGTAATTTAACAAAACAATTTGTTCAGCTTGAGATCTGTCAACATTAAGTTATAAGTTACTAATTTACTAGAATAATAAAACAAAAAACCTTTCACGGAATGTGCTTGGTAAAACATTACGAATTATTTCATTTTATCGTTCTTTCGTTTCAGCTAAATGACGTAAACTGCTGGACAAAGGCCTCCCCCAGTTTCATTTTATAAACTAGCGGCCACCCGCGACGTCGTACGCGTGGATCCACCTCTTAGAGGGTAGTTTCGTAAAATCCTTTCTTAGCGGATGCATACGTCATAACATCTACCTGCATGCCAAATTTTAGCCCGATCCGTCCAGTGGTTTGGGCTGTGCATTGATAGATCACTATGTCAGTCAGTCACCAGTTAGTCAATCAGTCAGTTAGTCACCTTTGAGTTATATTTAGATAGATTCCCGCTCGCATAAAAAATGTTTATAAGGACTGTAACACAAACCCAATTCTAAAGAAGCAAGAGCAAGCTTAAACATTTATTTCTTTCTAAGAATGATTAAATGGAGTCATTTGTTTAATTTAATGTTAAAAAAATCCAAACAATACCCCATCGGTGTGATTGCAGCCAATTTTTACCGTTCCGCCTGATCCTCGCCAGCTATCTTCATTTCAATTGCTAATACACTCGTAAACTCTAGGAGCCTGCTTGGAGAGATAGCGATATTTTATAACGCAAGATGGCGGATGGAATAGCTGATGAAGTTCCTTTCAGATTTCAGTATGATGGGTGAGATTAATTCAGGTTATAATGCAAGAGTTAGAGCTGAGAATTGCATGTTGAAATTACAGGTAAGAATTTAATTCTGCAAGCACCAATGAGGTCATAGCACACGCCTTCCGCCGCGCTATCAACCGCGACTCCGCGAGACGAGGCGTTTACGTTACGGTGCGGATAAGTGCGTTGCAGTACGGAGTTTCATACAAAGAATACGGACCGCGTCGAGTTAATACGGCTACGATCCCTTTCCGGGTTGATAAGTCTGCTACGTCCTTTGGTCCGAAACTAAGCCATCCAATAGTGCAGGTGTTGTTAACCGCTTGAGTCCCAGACGGCATTAATTAATGTCATAACAATTGATTATCTATTGTGTCTAGATTCGCGGATCTTGAAGGATTAATGAGTTAATATAGTTTGGTACTCCTTTTTATGTACGATAACGGGTTAATTTAGTCTGATACCTATTTCTTTTTATGTGCCTAGGTACAGATTATACAATCTGATTTCCTTTTATACACACAAATGTTTGTATTGTGCGGAGATTAGAATCCGCTTCCTCAGTTAAGTACTTAGCTTATTTCTTAACCTCTGCAATAAACCCATAATTGTGAAAGAAATAAATACAGACTACATGTATTTGTTTAGAAGACAAAAGAGTGCTAAGTTCAGGTTTTCCTCGAGGTGATAGTTTTCTAAAAAGATTTCAATTAACTACATCTACTACATTACTAATAAAAGTTAAATGCGCGTTGAACACCTTCTTTGAATTGACATTAAGGCTGAGTTGCACCACCTATCTTTGACCGTAACTTTAACGATAACCGGTGTTTTTTGTATGGAGTTTGCCAGATTTTTGACGTTTGTCAAAGTTAAAGTAAGATGGTGCAACCCAGCCTTAGTGTGGAAATGACATATAAAACTGGTGATCAATGTACCTAACCTTTTATTACTAAGGGGGAATTTATTATCATAATGTGAAGAAAAGCGTACGTTACATCGTCATTTTTCATATGAATATTTTTGAAGTGACACGTGTCAACAGGTGCTCGCCTCGCGCATGTCATAAATAATAAATGATTTCGATCATCGGAAGGTTCAGTAAACTGTTTGTTTAAGTGACTTCACTATAAATAATTCTACGCCCGTATTCACAAACATTACTTTAAGGTTTCACAGTGCGCGTGGACGCACAGGGCACAGTAGATATATGAGCTAAAGCAGTACGGAAACTTAGCCCTTTCGGCGAGTTATATACCTACACTTCAACTGAGTGTTAGGGTTGACACTCTTAATCTTTATAAAATTAATTAGGTTCTGACTTACTTATTTATTCAAACGTTTATTTAGGTTCTTTAATTATCAAATACCTAATGGAATAAATTAATTGACTAAGTAGTTAACAAAAAAATAAAACGTTAATTAGGTTCTATAATGATCGAATACATAATCGAATAAATTTATTAAGAGTACTATTAGAGGCCGGTAGAAGATATTCTATTCTCATAAATAAAATACCGGATACTTACTTTCACATAGCTATTGCCTCATTTTAAATACAGTTCATCACTTAGTTCAAAAGCGCGCGGAGCAAATTACTCTTATCAAATAGAACACATAAATTGTTAAAAAGCGTATTTACGTAATTTAAAAAGAACTATTACAAAATCAGATGCAAGCACTTTATTTAAAAAGTAATATTTAATCATTTTTACAATTCAGAATTATTACGAAGTTTAAAAAATGAAAGTTCTGGTTTTGAAGATGCCGAGTTCAAGCAGCCGTATACTACGCGCAATACACTCGTGGCATGTTTTTTAAAAATACAGCGGAACGTGCATGCAATAAAATTATTATTAAAAACACAACGCGCGCGACACTCGCGACGGATGGACTGCGAGGTTCGCTTAGAGCTCGTGTAAAGCGTGCGTCTGTGTGCGTGAGTCTGATTTCGAGCATTTGTATGAAGCTTCCGTACTGTTTGATTTATCTACTGTGCACAGGGTGACCCAACTAATCACAGAGCTCTATTCAACACTGTGCGTTCGATTTGCTACTTCACTTAAGCAAGCATCGTTTGTGAATACGGGCGTTAGTCAATTTAAAATGTTTACATGTAAATGACTAAAAACTGTCCAACTTCTTAACAATGCTACAAAAGAGAATGATGTAAAACAAAAAATAACACAAGAGAGAAAAATTAATTATACTGTAAGCGACAGACAACCTATTGACACAGTATACATAGATAGAATTTTATACGAGAATAATAATATAGATTCTTTCTGCGGACCCTTAAAGAGGCTCTCAATTTTCATGGGTCACTGGCTCCAATGAATTACGTACTTAGTACCTTTATATTCTCAATCAAATTAATTCGGGTATGCATTGAAAAGAAAATTATGACCGGTTTGAAAGGCCGAATAGATAGTATAGACTCATTCATCAATTTATTGGTAGATAGTACTTTGAACTTTTTTCTTAAGGATGACGCAACATTCTAAGGGTTTAATTTGAGTCCTAATGAAATTGTAACTTACGTTGCGGTTCCACTAACAGTCTAACTAAATGTAATGTGCTTAAAACGAGGAAGCTCTTGGCCTGTATCTCACCTGATGGTAAGTGATGATCAGGCCGAAGGTGGAAGCGAGCTTCACCCGGAATCCTAAACCACGGAGGAACTGGCTATCTTACCTTTAACTGCCGGAACACAACAATGCTTTTAACATTGTTGTTATGGCGACAGACTTAAGTAAGATGGTGGTAGCTAGCCAGTACCAATACCCAAATCTTACATGTAGCTCCAAAATCGCCTAATTATTTCAACTTTCAAATACGAGTAATTCCAAATTCTTTGGAAAGAACATGAAAAATCTTTTATTCTGTATCGTTTAACACATTTCATTAAAAGTGGCTGGGGTCTTCTTTTAACATATACCTATTAGGAGGCCCAGCTCTTTCTTAAAATTACAAAGATACTAGTGTACAGATTAAAACTAGTTTATTTTAATACATAAGAATATAATAAATACTTTTTAAATCAAAATAATCGTTCGTTTCAGCCGAAAGACGTCCACTGCTGGACAAAGGCCCCCTCCAAGGATTTCCGCAAAGACCGGTCCTGCGCCGCTCGCATCCAGGCACCTCCCGCGACCTTCACCAGATCACGGTAATAATATCATACAGTATTGTAACTTCATATAAGGGTCATTCCACAAAAATATGTCAACTCTTAGTCCGCGCCACATTTCACATGAAATATTTGTTAATATTTTATTCCAAAATTGTTAAATAACAGCTCGCAATGTGCTTTATTCATCACCCATTTATATTTTTTGAAACTATTTTTAAAACATCTTAAATTCCTTTTGAATGACCCAAAACGTCATTCCGTAGGTATGTCCGTACTCCAAAAGTTTGTGTTTTGGGACCCACATTTATAAAAACATCAACTTTATCCTTTGTTTTAATTAACGAATAATCTATTTAAATGTATATTACACCAAATTCTATTAATATTTTGCGGTTTCAATAAACAATAATTTGATTTTCTTTAGTTGAAAAAGAGTCTACAGTTTTTAGCGTCATTCCCTCGCCACGCACTGATTTTATAATTTTGCGCTTTAATATGTATTTAGAGTGAATGACATTTAGTTGAGTTTAAAGTACGATACGAAGTTATCCTCAGACCATACTGGCTTTGCGATAGCCGTTTTTTGAATTACTGCAAACGTGCCAGTTGTTACCGAAACATGTGTTAATCCAGTCACTTCGTCAGTCCCTAGTTGAGTAGCTTTATTGATTATAATAGGAAATTGTATATAATTTAATAGTATTTACGTGTGGTTTTTTGGCTATTTTCGGCACATCGTATTAAGCATCTTATAATATAAAGTTAATCTGCATTTGTGTTAAGTTTTACTCCAAATCGTCAGTCCCTAGAGCGTCAGGCCCTAGCTCTCAACGGCACTTGGGACTAAATTACTAGTTAGGG